AAGTTAGTTTTATTTCTTCTGTATTGGAATAGTCAGAATGTCAAATTAGAATACGATAAAGGCGTCGTCAAGTATTATTAGTCATCAAAGGAATTACCAATGAATCTGTGCAACACTTAGAGAGTCTTAAAAGCCATAGTGGACAGAAATTATATTGTTACCATAGTCTTACAACACTATTATTATGTTTATTATAAAATAAGAATTCGAAGTTAAAAGTTTAAAGGTCATAACGTCAGAAATAATGTTAATAGTTGTCTGGAGTTCTATAGGGGTCTTCTTTATTGTTAACTGTACAAGTATAAACTGTGATAGTTATTATGGTCCTTCTTAAATGTAATGACATATTGAAGTGGATTTATGGTGTTGGCTTTTTAAGTATTTCTTTTTACTTATAGCGAATTTGACAAACCTTACTTCTAGGAGTTACTATGATTTAAGTCTCGAAATTGATGAAATGATCCAATTCTAATTAACTCTTTCATTTTAATGTTTTTCGGTTTAACTCGCCGAAAACCCAATACTGCTCTTTTTAACAGTTTTTTAAAAATTTGTCCCAAAACTTATTAAAATTGAATTAATATTAGGTGATTTTCCTGAAAAATAGATAAAAACAAATAATATAAAATTATCATAATGAAATTATTTTTTATTCTAAAATTTTGTTTTGTGCAGAAGTATATAAATTATGCGGATTTAGGGTCACCCTCCATTTTATCTATATTTTTAAATAATTTAACTAAACGCGAGGGGCGCGCAAACTGAATTTTCCCAAAATTCGGGATTAAAGAGTTCCAAAATTTAAAATCATATTTTTAATTTTTCCCTATAAAATGACTTCTTTAGATAAAGTGACTTCCCTAAGGTGTGCAAGTTAAAATTATTAGTCTTTTTTACAGGGAAAGGGCGTGCAAGACTAAATTTTTGTAAAAAAACATTTTATTAAAAAAATGTTATTCGTTTGCAAATTGTTTCAAAAAACACACAACCCTTTGGTGCTTGAATTAATAAACTACAAAAAGCAAATTAAATTATAAAAATTGGGTTATGGTTTGTCTATGTGTTTAATGTAAAAACAATTTTGTTTCAAGAACGTGAATAAATGTCGATGTCTCTTGTGTTAGCGTAATTCAAAGCGGCAATTAAAGGCATGATAAACATTATATTTTTCTCTGTGCCATTTTATAGCAAACAATAACAAATAGTCTGTTTAATAGGTGCAGTTCGTTATCTCAAATCAATGTGTACTGTTGTCCAGAACTGGTCCTTCGATAATTTACATTGGGTCGCTTTCCCGAAATTGTTGCTTAATTAATTGTATTCGAAGTGTGAAAGTTAAAAATTGCAACGTCACAAGGTGTGCAAGTAAAG